AAGAATCAGACGACTATTCTTCGGAAAATGAAGAATCAGAAAGTGAACCACATGACGAGATTCTGAGTGACTGAACTACGAATCATGAGTGGTGTAAACCTGATCGAGAGTTTACCATTGAGTTGGCACAGAAATCAATTGCATTTACGAAAGAAAGTCTGCCTCTGAAGAAAGAATGCCTCTTCCTAATGATTTCATTGTGAAGAGTTGTGCTGGAAAAAGGATCACACTAGGTTCAGTACTCAACGAGTTTATCGAAAACGCAATGATATTCCCAGACAGTGCGATGTGTGACGATAAACATCGAAGTCATGTGACTGAAGAGCTACAGCACAAAATGTTAAATGAATTGCCATTAGAACTGCAAGGTATTTATGTTAAATATGCGACGGTTGAGATCGAAATTTTTCGTTCGAGCTTACTAAAAATGTTCTGTTAGACTGCGTTTTCTTTAGATAGACATATAAAAAATAGAAATCGTTTTGTATATTTGGTGATGATTCTTAATCGTCCAACAAATGCCGCCTTGGATTTTTCCAAGTGTCAGAAAGAACGTTATCTTTGAAGGACTCAACATGACACATGAGAATGTTAACAGAACAGAGAGAAAAAAAGAAAGAGTTATCGATGTCCTTGTTCTTTCTTCCAACCTGTATGTATAAGAGAGAAAAGAGAACGAAATATGTCACACATACTCCGTTTTCAAAAAAGGAGACTTCTCCTTTGATATTACGTAATAAAAAGAAAAAAAAATTTATGGCACAGTCTTGTGTACCCTGCTATGAACGTCCACGTAATTTTCAATGGTACTGGAAATCATCTGATGAGAAGTGGGAAAAATATTTGGATGTTGAAAATGAAATTATTGAAGATGCGCACAATGAGAGACAGGAGTATGTCGACATTGATGGTGGTTATACAATTGATTTGAAACAACAGATTCAACAAAAAAGCAACTCCCATGAGCGATGGCCAATAAAACGCGATCAATTTGATAAACATCTTACAAATGTACAACTAAGAGAAGATAGATTTTCATCTTCGATAACAATTTCTACTCCGACAACAATAACGACAACGTGCTCCGATCAAGAGGTGTTAGGAGCAGATGATTTACTGAAATATTGGCTGAACGCAGGTTCGCTTGATGATATTTATCGAGAACTTGAAAATGCTAATAATAAGAAAACAATTAGTGACCTAATCCAAGAGGCTTCGAATGGAATAATTGAAGAAGGAAGTGCAATCGGAGAAGCAGAAAAAGCGCGATGGTTAGCACGACAATTAAATAATGTCAAAAATTATGGTGAAAATATACAATTTGGTCCCAATAAAATTCCATCAGAAATTGGTAATACTCTGGTTAATCTCTATACGCGAGAAACATTTTTGTATAAATTAATCAATAGCGTCATTCGAGATCTCCCATCCATGACACGAAAAAAAGTTAAAACGACGGCCCGTTTTGCGTTTTATTACGTTCATATATAAATCCACTAGGTAATAATTCATTTCCTTCGACTGTATATCGTGGTCTCACTCTAACCGACGAAGAACGGAAAAATTTCATGAAGAGGGAGATGCGATTTACCGCATTCACATCGACAAGTAAAAATCGAACATTAGCTGAACTGTTGGGAAATACTTTACTTATTATCGATCTCAACGTAAAGGACAGGCGCCGTGGCAATTTGATTAACATTGGACGCGATATTTCAAGGATGTCTCACTTTCCGGAAGAAGAAGAATACTTGATTATTCCCAGGAGCATATTCAATTTTGAAAACTATGAGTACGCTGAATCGAAAGATCTACAGAAACATATTATATATCTTAAAGGATCAAACGAAAATAATTTACAAGTCTCTCTCGTCAACCTCGATCCTTTCAGGGGAAAACACGGGCGAGTGCAGCAATTCAGAGAAAGTGAGCAGCAGCATAGCACCACTATAGAGAAATTAAAAAATCTGATTCGTTATCACGAACCGGTTATGAAACAACTGGAAGAAAATAATCAACAGTAGCTGGAAACAATTAAAAAACTAGAGAATCGAATTGGTTATCAAGAAATAGTGATTGAAGACTGTTTTCTATCAACCAAGACACCAACAAAACAAAAGCTTTTAATTCATTAATAATAAGGTGCTCATAATTCAAACTTCGAGCAAAATTTCTTTTTGACTTAATCATACATATTCTGATTCTTCTTGTCGAGCTGATCGCGAATATCACCTTTTGACTTCTTTTCTTTTCTTCCTCGAAGTATTTTCAGAAATGATAGGAGGCGACACCGCCATATAAGTTGTTCATTTTGAGTATAAGACAAACCATTAGAACAGGTGAAAAGAAATTCGATTATACAGTCTTTGTAGAGCTTTTCA